GGACAGCATCTCCATGGACCAGCTGTCTGGAATCCCTCCTTCCAGCCCTGTGGAACTAACCTGGTGTGGATTCAAGCAGCAGTCCACCAAGCTCCCACCTGCACCTTCACAGTAATAAACCATTCTCATGGACACAGCCTGGAGAGCAGCAGCACATGTCAGACTCGGCACTTAAAACCAGGTCAGTTGTTAATGAAAGTCCACACCTAAAATCAACATTCCCATGACCCTGTCAGCTGTGAGTGAGAGAACGGGGAGGAGGTGTCCCCCAGAACAGACCAGACAGCAGGAGTCTTTGGGCAAAACCACTTTTTTTATTGAGTTTGTACAAACAGGGGCAGACGGGGGTGTCAGGCGATGCTGCCGGCGTTGGAGGCGATTCTGGGCCACAGGTCCGCACACTCCTTTGCCACTGGGCCAGTGATGGCAGAGCCTGAGAGACAGGAGAGAGTTGATTCAGAACTCGGCACACAGGCCAGGCTGCAGGGTCACCTGCTAGAGACGCCGATATACACACAGGAGCTCTACCCATCCTAGACTGTGCATAACATGGCGCCCAAACAGCTGTCCTGGAGTTAACTCAGCGGATCAGCAACTCATCAGTAGATTAAAAAACAGGGAGTCAACAGGCTCACGGACACCTTGGCATGAGGGAACAGACAGGTAAACCACTCCAGACACGACAACCCCCCCCAAACCCCTGGCTGTAACAGTGCATCTAGAGGAGGGGACACCCCGTCACAGGGGCGGCAGGGCAGGAACACGAAAACACAAACGGCACAAACGAAAGGCTGTCCGGTGGACAATACCCAATCAAGCAAAGGATGCTGGAAAGACCGAAGGAGGTTTGACAGCTCGTGTCAATCACCCTGTGCTCCGAGAGGCTGTCCCAGCGGCTGGCGAGTGTCCCGTCGCGGATTGAGAATCTGCAGCACACGCAGCTGCCCTCTCACCCAACAGCGACGCACTTCCTGTGCCCTTCCACGACAGCTCACCCCGCCACTGCACGCCAGGCGGGGCAAGTGCTTTAAGAAGGGCAGGCGGGGGGGGGGTGGCGCGCGCAGGACCGGCGACTCACCTTTCATCTCTCCTTTGTTGTTGACGATGACCCCCGCGTTGTCCTCGAAGTACAGGAACACCCCGTCTTTCCTCCGGTAGGACTTCCGCTGCCGTATCACCACCGCAGGATGCACTGCAACGAGCCGCAGAGGGAGGTCAGCGCACACCGCAAAGTCAACACGGCAGCGCGCGATCGCCATCCGGTGGCGGAGCCCAGGCGCGCAGCAGCAGTGGCGCCTGGGGCACCGGACTCAGCCTCCACTGGCTGAAGCAGCTGGGAGCCTAGCAGGATCCCTCTGAAGGGGGAGGTGTCAGATCAACACCAACACCACAGGTACCACAAACTGGACGCTCTGCTATCCAGCCAAATTAGTGCGACAGTATGCGTGTACAGAAGGGAGGCGGCAGACTAGGGCCACTTCCAGGAACAAGCTGGGACAGCTGGACATCCACTGTCCGCAAACATCCCTGCAGTCTGGTGTCTGATCCCTTTGTACACATAACCCCCCTGTGACCACATGTACACAGTTGTGTTAATTGCTTTTAGTCAGCCTAAAAACTGCAGCCCCAAATATGTAATAACATAGTAGAACTGCCACCACTGGAATCTCTATGATCATGTAGCTGATACAGTAGGCATGTGTGCAGCATCAGCTACCTGATAGCAGCTCTCCAGGGGGAAGAGAATATGAATACATTTCTACAAATAATCTAACTCAAGAAGATCATCAACATATTTAAATAAGGAGGACTCAAGTGGTCAGACCCAACACCCTACAGCTAGGAAAACACTGTTCCTGACTGGCGCACACTATTCAGAGGCTCCACAGGCCCATGGATCACATTGGCATGAACAGGCACACTACAGAACCATCACCTTTCAGCAGTCTTCCACCGAGCAGCAACAGCTCTGGAACCCATCCTGTAAACTAGCAGCACTGTGCACATCTCAAGACAATGAGAAACTCTCCCGGTATTCCCAAGAAGCTAAACACTATCCAGCCTTATGTGCATCTGTGAGCTGCACACGGCTCTTGCTTACACATTTCAGCAGCCTAAAGTTCTACATGAAGACTTGCCCATTACCAGAGGTTAACCTCGGTAGTTCTGTTCTTCTTGGGTTTAAATATGGGAACCAGAAAGGGACTGATAATGTTTAGAATCCACCCAAATCGAAACTGAAATAATTACTAGAATACGCACAGATTACAAACCCAGCAAGAAACGCAACCAGTCTCGTCTCCTGGCTGTAACTGGAAGCTGCCCCCAGACCGAGAGAGAGGCAGCCTTCGCCTGTGCCGAGCCCCAGCCGCACTCACCCTTTTTCCTGAGCTCCGGCTTGCCCTTCTTCACCGTGGCCATGACCATGTCGCCCACACCGGCAGCGGGCAGCCGGTTCAGGCGCCCCTTGATGCCCTTCACAGAGATGATGTACAGGTTCTTGGCACCTGGAACAGACAGCGGGGCGGACAGTGAGCCGACAGCTCCGCGCTGGAAATCTGAGCCGGATTGTCCATCTCATGCTACGCGGAGAGGAGGGGGACAAGGGTGTCAGGAGAGAAGCTGAGTTTCAAGCCGGCAAGTGTCGCGCCGTGGATTGAGGACGAACAGCACGTTGCTGCCACCTCACCCATCAGCGGTGCTCTTCATCTCCCCTCCCTCGACAGCTCGCCGCGCCACTGCGCGCAGGCCAGGCGAGCGCTTTCGGGAGGGCTCGTCCCCGGTCAATCCCCAGCGAGCAGGACCCACACGGCTCGGTTCGGCACGGCTCACCTGTGTTGTCGGCGCAGTTGATGACGGCGCCCACCGGGAGGCCCAGCGAGATGCGGAACTTCGCGCCGGATGAACCACCGCGTCCTGCGGGACAGAGGCAGCAGAAGAAAGAAACTCGTTAACCTGAGGCACCAGGACCGGCCCGGCCCGCAGGTTCTACACGCGATCCTGCAAGAGCTTTCCACCTTCCGTTCTCAGCCGCTGAGCAGTGCAACACTTCAGCTCCTGTCTGTACAGCCAGCACATCAGGAACGACACTACACGTTTGGACTTCAGCGCGTCTGCCTCTACAGTCCCGACTGCTCTACAGCACAGCAAGGCGAAGACGCGTCCTTCTTCATTTTAACCCACAAAACCGGCTGTAAAAAGAGGAGCGGGGCAGGACCTCTCCGCCAGGCCGGCCCTGGGCCCGGAGCTCGGCCATCAGCCGCACGGAGCGCCAGCGAGCTCCTCCTCGGCTCCGGTGTTACTGCGCTCCCGGGGCTGCGGCTCAGGCCCGCGGACAGAGACAGGCCTCCGCACCGCAGCCCGTCTGCGGACACTCCGGACCCGCATGCGGTCACACTCGGACCCCAGTCCCAGCGCACGGCTACTCCCACAGCTGGGACCTGAGCAGCATTGATAGCTCGGGACAAAACCCCAACATTTCAGCCGGAGGCCCAACATGGCTTCTCCCGAGTGTCACGACTGCCCGGCTCTGGCAATCAATTTTTTTTTGTCTCATTACAGATACACGTAAAATACCAAGCGGCTGTGAACAGTTAACTAATCTCTTTATTAAACCTAATGACTGTGAAACACCAAGTACCCCAGGAATTAAGGATGACTTCGGATTTCTCATTCTCAGTCTCAGCGATCTCTTACCTCTCTTAGACATTTTGGTTCAGGGAAAGAGGGAGGAGCTCCAAACCCTGCTGGGATATATCGCCAGGGTTTGGCTTCAGACCCCGGTCATGTGACATGGGAACAGTTCCGGTTTGTCCCCCACACGTGTTGAAGCAAACAAGTTGCGTCACGCCTCAGTCACGTGAAGAGGGATAACGTATTATTAACTCAAATGAGGTTATAGTAACATTATTAAATAAAATATTGATTTTAAATGCTTAGCTATATTTTTACTTAATTCCATTTTTTTTCTTCCACATCCACTAAATATTTGTAACATATAAAGCAGTTTTATATGACCAGTTTTATGGTAATTTCCAATTCTGTTTTCGAAAGAATAATAATTTAAGTTTCATTTTAAACGTTTCAAAAGATTTAACGATAAAAACCTATGATCCCGAAATGCAGGCGTGGAAATTAGAATTAAGTTTACAAAGCGCTATGAGAAATCTGTCAACGCATCAACAAATAAATTCCTAACTCGCTATCTGTAAAGATGTGCATTAAGAGACAGAAATAGCCCTGTTCTACAAATGCGTAGCTCAAGCAGCCCTGTTCTCCCAAACCTTTCTGTGAGATTAATGATTATTTTTCTATTGATAACCTCCTCATGATGTGAAAACGTCAGAAATGTAATACTGAATTTTCACCTTCAGGTGGCGCCTAGCAGGACAGACGCGGTTGCTTCCTTAGTTAAAAAAGACTGATGTCTGTCGGCCAACTGGGAAATTGCCTGGAATATATAAGAAATATTGCAGATTAAATTATATATATATAGTTCAAGAAGTGGTACATAAAACATTTAAAGAAAACATTACGGAATAGACCGAGCAGCTTCGCGACTTTACGTCCAACTTTATTCTTGCAGTAGTGACAAGTGGCCAGCAGGTGGGGGAGTTGCGCCACTAGTGCGCTTAATAATGAAAGTCTGGATAAGCTGCCGTCAAACCTAAGGCAGGAGGAGGGCGCTGCGCCGAGGGAAGGTTGCTGGCGGAAGGGATTTGGTTTGTAGCTGTCAACTGGCTGTGACCTGCATGGACAGCCAGTCTGGAGATGGAGAGGAGAGGAGGAGCAGTATCATTTCACAGATACCAGAATAGCCACAGTCACAACACAATTAAGAGACACAGCCCATATTAGGCTCATCAGTCTGATATTCTAATGAGTAATGCTGACTGGCAGCCGCCCACAGTGCCTACACAGCAGCAGGAGGCCTGTCATTACCGCAGGCTGATTACGGTGCTCGATGCCGATTGGCAAAGGTGCCAGGATGAGAAGCAGGGTAAGCCAGCCCTGTCAGTGCTCCAGCAGCACGTTGCCCCTGTGCCAGCCTGTCTCTGGCAGCAGCCCTCCGTGCTGGCGAGGGGGGTCAGACTCTGCTGGCAGTCTGGGTCCTGCAGTGCCAGTGCTGTGGCCAGCACAGCAATCGCAGCGCCTGAACGTTTAGTCCAACTCATGAACAGCATATCCACTGCTTGAATTTGCGTTAGAAAAGGAATACTTCTGCCAAATGTCCGGTCTTCTTCAGAGACCTCTCTGTACCATATGAGAGAAGATCTCTCTGCTGACGTCCTCTTGCACACCCCCAGGTGCCCCCCGCTGCGGCTCTCCGGAGGGCTGTGGCCCTGCGGCACCCCTGGCAGCAGGGAAACACCAGCCTGGCGCTCTCTGGTGCTTGAGAACCACAGCCCTGCAGACGTCCCCTCCTCACCTGCCACCCCCGGCTGGAGAAGCAGAAAGGCTTCAGCTGTTTCAATTAAACCAGCAAGTAGTTAAATTAGGAAATAAAGACCTCTGCAGACCCCCCTCACCTGGTTCTGCACATCTATTTCCTGGACAAGAACTGTTCCTGTACTAAAAAAAAAAAACAGTCATTTTGAGTATTTAACCCTTTCAATTGAGATCTTAGGCGCTTTCTCTTTGCTTAATAGACTGGGGTTATTTTGCACATTTATTTCCATCAAAACATACTCATAGATTGAGCTGAATTAATGGCGCAGTTATGGTCAGGGTTATGGCTGGCCAGCCTCTCCTCTCCGACACCATGGGGCTCCGTGTACTCCAGGGCAGCGACCAGACTGTCTGTCTGCCCTGAGGAATCCCTGACATCCTCACTGCCCGCTCCACCCCGCACCCTGCTCTTTCATCTTCATCTGAAACTCCTGACGGTCTCAAAACATCCTGTTTGCCTCCAGACAGGCTGCAACCTGTCAGCTCCCCAACCCCCCCAATTCAGGCAACGGCATCAACACTCATGCAAATGCTGCAGAGAAGCACCCTGCTCACACTCCTTCCCTCAGAAGTGGCATCAGGAGGAAAACAACAGCAGGAAGCAGCATCAGTGTGTGGCCCTGCAGCAAGACAGTGACAGTGTGTGGCCCTGCTGCAAGGCAGCGACAGTGTGATTGAGGAATGAGCTCGGCAGCGAAGGGCCCTGAGCTCCCCTCCCCTTGTTTACGGTCTCTGCAGTCACCTGAAATCTCCAAACCTCCTTTAAGAACTAATTCATTTATATCATTAAAAAGAATTGCAGGAATATCAACAGTTTAAATATAAAGTCGACAGCTTTGAAAGCATGGTTTTTTTCCCAGTTTTCACATTTAAAGTCAGACTTTGATTCTGAAATTCTCTGATCAGTGTGGGTCCAGCTCTCTGTTTTTGTCATTTTTGTTGATTACTTGGATTTTGTTTCCTGGGCTGTGCAGTGATGTGAAGCGACCTGTCTGTTTTCACAGGATAAAAAACAAACTGTCCTTTTAATTCCTTTCCTCAATCACCAGCAGGTCTCTCCGGTCTTCTGGGCTGCTGAAGAACAGGCACTGGGGGTTAGATACACAGCAGGGGCTTCGACATGGTTTTGCTCCAGTACAAAGTTTCCCATCCTGTTTCCTGAATGTGACTGTAAAGAGTTTAAATGTGCACATTCAGAAAGAGGCAGGACTTAGGGGAAGGAGACATTTTTTTTTCTTTAGGTAAGTTTAATAGTTTTCTCTGTGGTTATAGAACTGTGACCAGCCTTTAAAAAGCCCCTGCTACGTTGAATGTGAATTGGGCGTGAAGAGAGAAGAGTGACCCCTGCAGGGCAGGAGCAGAGATGCACGCCTGACAGAAGTGAGTACAAAGAGGAGCAGAACCTTGAAAGACAGGAGCCGTGAAACTGCACGCCTGCTGTGCAGGGGCCTGGGGTTGGGCACCTGGAGTCCCTGGCTCTTTAAAAAGTCCTGCAGGTAATACTGGGCTGCACATGGGCTTGTGCTGCTAAGCCAGAATAAACCTGGGTTCACGCAGACAGGTGCTGAATGAAGGGATCAGAGCTGGTCTATCCGAGACTTCCCCACCTCAGCAGCAGCCTCTGTCTTCGGAAAACACTGTCTCAGTTCAAAGATTAGTTGCTGTACTTCACCTGCTCTTAAGGTATGCTTTCATATGGCTGCCTGGTGCCAAAAACACAGTATCAGCCCACTTATCTTGCAGGCGGGGGAAGGGGGGGGGCTGTGAGGCTCAGGTAAGTTCCCTGCTGGAGCCTGAGTGCAGGGGCTCGTCTCTGCCTGCGCTGGGAGGGCGGGGGGGCTCCTTCATTCATGGCTGTTTCTTGTCTTAATGGAGGCAGGCGTGACGTCCGCGGAGAGCAGAGCCCGTTTTCCCATGAAAACCTGTCGGCACAAACATGTCAGGCTGCTGCTCACATGAACAAAATCACCTCAAACACGTCTTCAGGCAGCAGGCAAGGGCTGGGGGCGTCGGCTCCGGCTGCACGTGACCCAGCCACACAGGGGCCTGATTCAACCAGCCGACTCCGCCGCACTGTTCATCCTCTTAGTGACAAACACATCCCCTTCAAAGGTTAATGTCTCTGCTCAACACAGTAAAAACAGAGTAAAGCCCAGAGGAATCATGGTAAAAACACAGGGAGCAGGGTATATAATGTGAGAAACTATGGCAAAGCAAAGTAAACGTTTTGGTATGAAACCGATACACCTAATGGAAAACTGCAGAAACACCCAATCAGTTTGCTTGGATAATTATCACAGGTCAGCACAACAAATCCCTCTGCAAGAAAAGGGGAACATTCGAATTGCCTGAGACTCTCAGATTCGCAGTTTTATATTTAGTCTTTGGGTGGTTCCTCTCATGCTGCATGGAGTTTCTGTGGTTTTCCACTCAGGACAGAAAAGAGCACCTGAGTCAGGTGTGCTGTGACCAGGCCCCCAGAGGGCTGCGCCCTCTCCCCTAATCTCTTAATGACACAACAGGCAGGAAGAGGAAATTAAATGCCTGACTGGAGCTCAAGGAAGAAGCTCGGCTGCTAAGGACAGGGTGTGGGTGAGGAGGATTCGTCTAATGAGGGGTCTGTCCTCTGAAAAACAGCCTCACAGCACAGGCCGAGCCAACAGCGCACAGGAGCCACACAGCAGCTGGTCTGGGTTTGTCCCGGTTTTTGTCAGGGGTGACTTTAATGCCCCTCCCAGGGTCTGTAAAATAAAATCTATTTAGAAGTCAAAAGAAATGACATTTTTCCTTTTTGTTTCAATTTTTGGTTGAAGAACAGAATAGTGCAATGAGGTATGTTTCTAAAATGAGCCCCCCCCCAGACATTCTGAGGTCATTGTCTAAGGCGTTGGCTGTTTAGAGTTGAGCCCCAATCCTGCTTGGTCACCATCCAGGCGACAGCATCTAGTCAGATGTGAAGGTGAGACCTGAACCTTAGCAATATCTCCGTAGTAAATCTGCACTGCATTTTGCAATTTGCCCAGCAGTGAGTATTGTCTATACTTTCCAACCTCTTATATTACATGCATGACATAGTTTAGGATTAGGGTATGTGTGTAGTTTTGGTTTAAGAAGCATGTACAGATTCCCCAGTAGCCATGGACAGTCCTAGATCAGTTGAACAGCAGGCTCTGTAAACACAGAAAAGTAAGATAGCAGGGCCTGTTTTTCTGCACCTGGGCTGCAGAATCCCTGTGTTTAATGGCAGAATTTCACAACAAGTTTGCATCCCTCAACACTTCATTACTCAGGCTAGACAACCAAATACACACCCCTGCTGAACAGGCAGTCACAGGTGTAGTACTGGGCT